TAGATCCAGAGGGCCTGGAGGAAGGTACAATCTCCACTGAGCAGTATACAATCTGTCTAGGCGGGACTGATTGAAGGAAATGCGGATAGGTCTCTTGTGACACAATGGTGAATAATTGTTACCAGGACTGATTGTGAAGGTTGTAAATGTAAAAGTAGACATTTTGTGGCAAGGAGGGGAGTGATTAACTTTGCAGGCTAGGAGTGGAGGTCCCTGGAAGCATGAAGGAAGTAGAGCAGAGAGCAGAACCCTACCCAAAGAAGCAGCAATCCCTGAGATGGAGGCAGAGATGATGACATGGAGAGATGGAGCAGCTGGGAACTCAGGACCCAGGCAGGGAGAGGGACTATGTGATGACAGGGGCCGGAGGGTGGGGAAGGGAAGCAGGATGTACCCTTTCATTGATTGGTGATGCATGGAGGGGATTGTAACCATGGCAATGAAACAATATACGATAGGATGAATGTAAAACTGATGTTCTCCCATGTAAACTGTCACATAATGCACAATAAAACTTAAAAAAAAGTAGAAATTAATAGAAAAGTATCAGTAAAATCAGTATCTAAAAATGATTTAAAAAATAAATCCAAGAAAGTTAAGAAAAATAAGCATCAGTAAATAAACTTATTTTGTTATTTCTTGTTAGATGCCATTGAGTTGACACCGACTCATAGTGACCTTATGCACAACAGAACGAAACACTGCCTGATCCTGGGTCAACCTCACTATTGTTGCCATGCTTGAGCTCATTGGTGCTGCCACTTTGCCAATCCATCTCGCTCAGGGTCTTCCTCTTTTTCTCTGACCCTCCACCCTCCAAAATATGATATCCTTCTCCAGTGACTGGTCCCTCCTGACAATATGTCCAAAGTATGATGGATGAAGTTTGGCCATCTTGGCCTCCAAGGAGCACTCTGGCTGCACATCTTCAAACACAGATCTGTTGGTTCTATGGGCAGCCCATGGCACTTTCAATGTTCTCCAAAACCATACCTCAAAGGCATCAATTCTTCTTGGGTCTTCCTTATTTGGAAGGAATATCCAGCTTTTGCACGCATATGAAGTTATTGAAAATACCATGATTTAGGTCAGGCATACCTTAGTCCTCAAGCTGACATCTTTGCTCTTCAACACTTTAAAAAGGTCTTGTGCTGCAGATTTGCCTAATACAACACGTCCTTTGATTTCTTTACTGCTGCTTACATGAGTGTTGATAGTTGAGCCAAGAAGAATGAAGTCCTTGACAACTTTAATCTTTTCTCCGTTGACAAAAATGTTGTTTACTGGTCCAGTAGTGAGGATTTTTGTTTTCTTTATGTTGAGATGCAATCCATACTGAACGCTGTGCTCTTTGATCTTCATCAGTAAATATTTTAAGTCCTCTTCACTTACAGCAAGCAAAGTTGTATCATCTGCATATCACAGGTTGTTAATAAGCCTTCCTCCAATCCTGATGCCACGTTTTTCTTCATATAATCCAGATTCTCAAATTATTTGCTCAGCATAAAGGTTGAATAAGTATGGTGAAAGAATACAAACCTAGTATACACCTTTCCAAATTTTAAACCTTTCAGTGTTC